TAAATATATATATATTGTGAATAGTGAATAGTGAATAGCATGGCGTTTTAATATAACCTGATATCTATCTCTTCCATTGGTATACAGCCGAAATACTTATCCTATTCTACTGGCCAAAAAAGAACGCGCTATATGTGTAAATATGTGTACATCTATCAAGTTATGATATACCAATATTAGGGTGATGTAACTTCCGACAAATCCTGGCTTCGCGCTCCAGCTTTTGAAAATCTATAAGAAAAAATCCAAATTACAGTTACAGCCTGGATTCACTTATAAGTTACTCACCCCTTGCTGTTAGCTTCTTGGTATTTATAATCTTGGCCGCAAATTCGAATCCTGTTGACTTTTGGACACATCTTTTTACTATCGAAAAAGCACCCCTGCAATCAAATTGATATTTTATTTTAAACGAAAAAAACATTCCAAAAATTTGAGAAGTTCTCTTACTTTCCGAGCTCCTCTTTGATGTCGTAATTGTCCGAAAAACGCGTACAGGCTGCTGGAGCAGCCATCGCGATAGCACACTTGAGAAAATCTATTGTGTGTGTGTATCAATTAAGAGCCTGTATGGACTTCTTTGATAGATGTATGTAAATAATTTGTTTTTCTTTTTTTTCAGTAGTTTGCCGGCTGAATTTCGCCGTAGAGCTTTGTTATTAAAATATATAAATTCTTTCCGCTGATTACGCACTTAGTAGTTCTATTCCGCCTCGTTTATAATCTTTTAAAATAAGTACAATATATTCATACATTTTTTATTAATTTCTTGTTTCTCCAATCTTTATTTATCGCCAAAGTTTTAATGAACGCAAAAGATCGGCTAATCAATCACACGATCATACCGAATGATCAAGCTTTTAAAACACAAAATACCAAACACTGAATACTCGATGTTAAACATTTAGAAACACACAACTGCAATTTATACTTTCTTTATATTACTCCTCTTGTATCAAACTAAATCATTCAAAACATCTTCTGAATTAATTAATTGCTTCTTTCAAATAATCACTGCTGAATATATTTGAACATTGTAAAAATACAAAATACTGTTATATTTACATTTTATGCGATCAAACTTTCACGTGGTATTTAAAGCAAAAATTCAAATTTAGTTACGGTCACACTAGTATAGCTGTGATTTGCTTGTTGGGCAATTTCAATACTGCCCTCGCATCGAAAAACTTGTTAAAGAAATGAAATGAAAAGAAACATACCTTTTGCTAAAAATAATCAAATAATATTTACATTATTGATTGTTAATATTTTTCATTTATTAATTTAAGCCTTTAAAACAATGAAAATAATGCTGCACCGCTTTTGTACCTTCATACACATATACATACATATATGTACATGTAGGGTGACCATCCGTCCTAGAATTCCGGGACATGTCCCGCTTTTGGAGGTAATGCCCCGGTGTCCCGACCTGACACGAAACTGTCCCGGTTTTCTATTGTTTCGATAAAAAAAATAGTCATTTTGACAAAATGCAAACTTGAAGAAGTTTGTGTCGAGACAAGTCAAGAATTTTGTTTAGAAAAACAACGCAGATAAGGTAGTACAGGTTTTTGCAACAAAGGTACACTCGTGTTGTTACTCGGAAGTATTAAAAATAGCTCAAATCCTGCATGCGATTCCAGCGCACAATGCGCAAATTTCGAAAGGGTTTTTTCTTACTAAAGAAACAGTGGTGAGACGAAAGAAATAAGTTACTGGTGGAGAATGTTAAAAACATCCATATACATAGTTCAATTTAATTTTGTGGACATGAAAACATTAAATATTGATGAAAGAAATGTTATGTACATACATATGTTCGACAAAATAGGCAGTGTGGAGAAGTATATGTCAGGCAATCAAAAATATAATAACAATTAAGTATAAGGATGTATTCATATATATGGATGTGCGTCTTGTGGAATTAGTCCCAAGATAATGTAATTATGCTAAATAGAAAGAAAGTAAAAGTTGAATGTATGAATGTGTGAATCTGTGTGACAAATAATTTATTTCAAATGGGGGGGTTGGTAGTTGACAGTCCCGGAATGAGCTCCGGCCCAGATGGTCACCCTATGTACATGCATTTCTATTAGTACCAAAAGTAGTCGCAGTTGACATGACAACTGAGAAAAAAGGTGGACATCTATATGTACATATGCATGTATGTGTGTAGGATTGACTGTGCACATTTGTACAATAAATTTGTCAGCATACGTTAATATACATATGTATGTACAAAAGCCTGAAGTATGAATGTATATCATTGTTTTATTTAAATGATGTGATTCACACTTTAATTTGATTGATATACATATGAATACATCCATATCCAAACACATTCATATGTGTATATATATATGTGTGTAGGTGAATTAAGGACTTATCCAACGTATTCCAGGCGACAGTGATGGAAGGTCACTCGACCCAATACAAACCAAACAAACGAGTATAAAACTTTATATTAACCAGCAGCTATTGTATAGATACTGTGCAGATATATACATATGTACATATATGTATACTAATCTATATATAATATATTAATCTAACTTGTTGCTTACATGTTCATATATAGATATACATATGTATTCTTTTCTACTTCTACTTTTCGTACAAATGTATGTATGTTAGGTGTGCTTGATTAACTATTAAATACATTTTCTTATAATTATACATGATTATTTACATATGCATATGTACACACGACCATACATATTTGTATGTATACAACTAAATTGTATTTTAATATGTACATGTTTGTTACATGAGCACACACACGTACACAAAAACATATGTACATTCATAATACATAAACACATATATA